TCGAGAAGAAAAGCAGCAATCTCGTTCTCTAGCAGCCCCTCGTCGCAGCTGAGCGAAGCAAGCGGCAGCAGGCGGCCCCCCAGGGCCCCTGCTGGTGTCAGCAGCTCAGGTTGTATAGAAACACTAGCTTTGTTTGTTGCTGCTGCTGCTGCTGCTGCTGCTGTTGCTGCTGTTGCTGCTTCTGATGAGGAAGAGGAGGAGGAGGAAGAGGGTGATGAGTCTGCTGCTGCTGCTGCTGCTGCTGCTGCTGCTTTGGCGAGGGCTATTATCTTTGCGCGTCCACGGAGGGGAGGCTGATGAGGAGATGATGCATCTTTTGCTGCTGCTGCTGCTGCTGCTGCTGCTGCTGCTGGTACTGCTGCTGCTGCTGGTACTGCTGCTGCTGCTGCTGCTGGTACTGCTGCTGCTGCTGCTTCTGCTGCTGCAGCAGCAGGAGGGTCGGAAGGGGAATCCTCATCCATCCTTAACACAGCTCTCCCATTTGGCTGCTGCTGCTGCTGCTGCTGCTGCTGCTGCTGCTGCTGCTGCTGTTGCTGCTGCTGCTAATGCTGCTGCTGCTGCTACTCGCGTTGCTGCTATTGCAGTGTCTGCGAGTTGCTGCTGCTGCAGTTATTGATGTTGCTGTTGCTAGTGTTGTAGCTGCTGTTGCTGCTGCTGGTACTACTGCTGCTGCTGTAGCTGCTGCCGATACTGCTGCTGCTGCTGCTGCTGCTGCTGCTGCTGCTGTTGCTGTTGCTGCTGTCTCCTTCGCAGCAGCAGCAACACCTTCAGAGGCCCACTTCGTGTGCAGCAGCTGATAAAGAGTCCCCTAAACCCTAAACCCTAAACCCTAAACCCTAAACCCTCTCTATCTGTTGTTTGTGGCGGGGGTCTATAGGGGGAGTATACGCGGGGTTGTTGGTTCGTTTCTTCTCACTAAAACCCCCAAAATAAATAAATAAATAAATAAAATAAATTTAATAAATAAATAAATAAATAAATTATATAATACAAACAAAAATAATTTATCTGTAGGGGGCCCCCCCTGGCGGCTGCGGGGGCGGCGAGCGGTGGTTGGGGGGCCCCCCTTTCTCCTTTTTTTTTTTTCTTTTTTTTGTTTATTTTTTTTTCTTTTTTTATTTTTTATTTATTAATATTGTTTATTTTATTATTGTACTGTTGCTAGTTCTTCTGCTGCTGCTGCTGCTGCTGCTGCTGCCTCTATCCTTATACACCCCAAGGGGGGCCCCCAGAGACTCGGGGGCCCCCAAGCAAACCCTAGAGCTGCTGCTGCTGCTGCACACCAATCAGCAGCAGCAGCAGTTGCTGCTGCTGCTGCTTCATCTGGCTGCTGTTAACAACGCCGACAGCAGCAGCAGCAACAGCAGCAGCAGCAGCAGCAGCAGCAGCAGCAGCAGAAAGGATGGGTGTGAGGGAGCATCTGTATTTGGTGCTGCATGGTGTATGGGGTCTTCTGCAGGGCCGCCAGCCGCTGCTGCTGCTGTCACCAGCAGCAGCAGCAGCAGCAGCAGCAGCAAAAGGATGTCCTGCTGCTGCTGCTGGTGTGCTAACACCGCAGCAGTTTGCTGCATCGAAGCAGCAACAGCAGCAACAGCAGCAGCAGCACTACCGCCGCCATCCAAACGAACCACCACAAGCACCAGCAGCAGCAGCAGCAGCAGCAGCAGCAGCAGCAGCAGCAGCAGCAGCAGCAGCAGCAGCAGCAGATGCTGCTCGGAGAAGAGATGTATTCCTTGGGGGCCCCTTCCTCCCCTACGACTTCAATTGGGTATCAGCAGTGAGGGCCTCTAGGGCCCTCTGTGCTGCTGTGCGTTGCTGCCTGCAGCAGCAGCAGCAGCAGCAGCAGCAGCAACAGCAGCAGCAGCAGCAGCAGCAGCAGGAGCAGCAGCAGCAGCAGCAGCAGGAGCAGCAAGAGTATATAGAATATCTGCTGCAGCGTGTGCTGGAGCTGCAGCAGCGGCTGCTGTATTGCTGCAGCATAAAACCCTCATATATAACCACCACCTTCGGGCTGCGTCCGCTGCAGCAGCTAGAAGACAAGCTTGCTGCTCTGCTGCTGCAGCAGCAGCAGCAGCAGCAGCAGCGGGTGCTGCAGCAGGAGAAAGGAACAGCAGCAGCAGCAACACCTCCTGCTGCTGCTGCTGCTGCTGCTGCTGCTGCTGCTGCGTGCCGGGGTCTCACAGCGGAAGAGCAGCAACAAGTCGATGACTGCAGCAGCAANCTGCTGCTGCTGCGTGCCGGGGTCTCACAGCGGAAGAGCAGCAACAAGTCGATGACTGCAGCAGCAAATTCCGCCGCGCTGTTGCGAAGGCTATAAACAGACAGTAAACCCTAAACCCTAAACCCTAAACCCTAAACCCTGATATACTGCTGGGTGTTTTCTTTGCTTTTTTTCTGTCGGCTGCTGTGTTGTTTTTATATATAAGGGGATCGAGGGTTTGTTTATTTTAGGGTTTAGGGTTTAGGGTTTAGGGTTCTTTATTGTTGTTTATGACTTTCCTACTATTGTTTATTAGGGTTTATTATTGTGTATTAGGGTTTATTGGGGTTTATTAGGGTTTATTGGGGTTTATTATTATTTATTGGGGTGTAGAGAGGTGTATGAGGGTGTATAAGGGTTTATAAGGGTTTACTAGGGTTTAGGGTTTAGGGTTTAGGGTTTAGGGTTTGTGTGTGCAGGCGTTTGTATGTTCCTTGTGCTGACTTGAATTGTGTTGGTGGTTTAGCGTTGCTGCGTTTATTTAATAAAAATAAAAAAAATAAAAAAAATAAAAAAAATAAAAAAAATAAAAAAGAAGAAATAGAGATAACACTAAAAGAAACAAACTATGAGCTCGTCCTCGCGCTGCTGCAAACCCTAAACCCTAAACCCTCGCAGCAGCAAACCCTAGTAAACCCTAAACCCTCGCAGCACCAAACCCTCGAAAACCCTAAACCCTCGCAGCACCAAACCCTAGTAAACCCTAAACCCTCAGCAGCAACAAGAAGCCTGGTAGATCAATGGATAGAGAAGAGGGACTTAACTTATAAAAACAAAGAGGAGGAGTTGCTGCAGCAGCTGCTGCTGCTGCTGCAGCAGCGGCAGCAGCTAGCTAGAAGCTGCGGATACAGCTGCTGGGGGGAAATGAAAATAAAAAGACAAACAGCAGAAGGAGACAGCTGGCGAGACACCCCGTTGCTGCTGCAGCAGATTGCGCATGCAGCAGCAGCACAGGCGCCGCCGCAGCTGCAGAAGGCTCTACGACAGCAGCAGCAGCAGCTGCAGCAGCAGCAGCAGCAGCAGAAAGGGGGGCGGCTTACTGCAGACCAGTGGCTTGCGGCAGCAATGCGGGTAATCCTTTTTGTATTAGGGTTTATGAGGGTTTACATTTTTTGTTAGGGTTTATATTTTATTTTATTTTTTTTTTTTNTTTTTTTTTTTTAGGGTTTATTGGGGTTTATATGTGTTTATTAGGGTTTATAAGGGTTTAGGGTTTAGGGTTTATTAGTGTTTATTAGGGTTTAAGGGGTTTGTAGGGAGCGATTGCTGTTGATTGGTGTTTGTGAGGGTTTAGTAGGGTTTATACGTTTTTATTAGGGTTTATGAGGGTTTACAAGGGTTTATAAGGGCTTACGAGGGTTTATAAGGGTTTAGGGTTTAGGGTTTAGGGTTTATGTGTTTAGGCGTACGGTCGCGGTTTGAATGAGTTAGATGCAGCAGCGTGGTTTAGTGAAGCAGCAGCAGTTGAGTTGCTGCTGCAGCAGCTTGCTGCTGCTCTTTGTCTTCGGCTGCAGCCCCTTATAGATAAACCCTGGCGAGGGTTTGGGAGGTATACAAACCCTAAACCCTAAACCCTAAACCCTAAACCCTAAACCCTTGGTTTTGGTGTGTTGGTTAGGGTTTCTTGTTGAACTCGCCGCTGATAGATGCAGCTGAAACAACATTAATTAGGGTTTAGGGTTTAGGGTTTGGGGTTTAGGGTTTAGGGTTTAGGGTTTGGGGTTTAGGGTTTAGGGTTTAGGGTTTAGGGTTTGTGTGTGTAGGTCGTTTTCGGGTTTCTCTTATTTGAGCCAGGTGTATGCGGTGTATGATGAGTTGTCTGCTGCGCCTGCTGCTGCTGCAGCAGATGCTGCTGCTGCTGCTGCTGCTGCAGCTGCTGCTGCATCTGCTGCAGCAGCAAGAAGCAGCAGCAGCAGCAACAGCAGCAGTAAGAGGGTTTGGGGTTTAGGGTTTAAGGATTTGCGTGAGGGTTTAGGGGGTTATAGTAATTGGGGTGTACATACAGCTGAATCGTTTTTAGGGTTTTTATATATACACCCTTTTTTCCCTCTCTCTCTCACGCAAACCCTCAAAACCCTAAACCCTAATCTAAACCCTCAAACCCTAAACCCTCATCATATAACCCTCGCCACAGGCCACAGCGCTGTGCACGCTCAGCTCCTCCCCCCTAAACCCTTTCAAGGTAGACTCCTAGATGTACAAGAAGTACGCAAACCCTAAACCCTAAACCCTAAAAAACCCTAAACCCTAAACCCTCAAACCCTAAACCCTAAACCCTAAACCCTTGGAGACGAAGCAACCCCCAAACTCTGCACAATACACCAAAAGCACACACATACACACACTTGCATCTACTGTTTCTTTTACCATCGAGGGTCTAGGGTTTAGGGTTTATGGTTTAGGGTTTAGAGTTTAGGGTTTAGGGTTTAGGGTTTAGGGTTTAGGGTTTGTGTACAGCTGAAGGTGCTGGCGCATGAGGTCGGCCACGCCTTCAAGGAATTGCTGCAGCAGGGGCCGGTAAGAAATATATAAATAAATAAATATAAATAAATAAATAAATATAAATAAATATAAATAAATAAATAAATACAAATAAATAAATATAAATAAATAAATATAATTAAATAAATATAATTAAATAAATATAAATAAATTAATAAAAGGAGAGAGAGAGGGAGACAGAGAAAGAGAAAAAAGAAGAGAAACAGAAAGGCATAGACACACGGCATCTCCCCACAGACTGCAGCAGCAGCAGCAGCAGCAGCAGCAAAGACACCAGCAGCAGCAGCACCAGCACCAGCACAAAGTATAGCAGCAGCAGCAGCAGCAGCAGCAGCAGCAGCAGCAGCAGCAACAGCAACAGCAGCAGCAGCAGCAGCACAAGAGTAGTTTCAGCAGCAAACTAAAGATGCAGCAGCATATAAACAGAGTCTACTGCTCCCACTGCCCTAGAGCCATATCAACCTTCTCTTCCTCCTGCTGCTGCTGCTGCTGCTGCTGCTGCTGCTGCTGTTGCTGCTGCTGCTGCTGCTGCTGCTGCTGCTGCTGCTGCTGCAGGCTTACTTTTCAAGGGAGCGGCCGCTGGACTTTGACGAGACCTTCGCTTTGCTCGCTGAGTTAGCTAGCCACTACTAACAGCTAGCTAGCTAGCCACAACAGCTAGCTAGCTAACCACAACAGCTAGCTAGCTAGCCACAACAGCTAGCTAGCTAGCCACTACTAACATCTAGCTAGCTAGCCACAACAGCTAGCTAGCTATACCAGGCAGCTAGCTAGCTAGCTATAACAGATAGCTAGCTACAAGAAGCAGATACCTGGCTAGCTAGCTATAACAGATAGCTAGCTATACAAGCTAGCTAGCCAGAGCAAGCAGCTAGCTACCGAAAGCAAGCAGCTAGCTAGCCACAATAGCTAGCTAGCTATAACAGCTAGCTAGCGGTTGCAGCTGCTTACTTGTAGCTCGCTGAGCTAGCTGTCCTCCTCAGCCTGAGGCATCTGGCCATCCCTACCTGATCTAGCTAGCTAGCTAGCTAGCTATCTAGCTATCTAGCTAGCTAGCTAGCTAGCTATCTGTTCACCTCTACCCCAGCTAGCTAGCTAGCTAGCTAGCTAGCTGTATTTATAGTTTTTCATGTTTGTGTGTGCAGACACATATTCTGGCGGCCCTGGTTTTTGTGTGAGGTGTCTAGACACCACAAGCACCAGCAACCCCTCACACACAAACAAGCAGCGTAAATATACACACCAACCACACGCTGCTGCTGCTGCTGCTGCTGCTGCTGGTGCTGGTGATGCTGCTGGTGATGCTGCTGCTGCTGCTGCTGGTGATGCGGCTGGTGGTGGTGGTGGTGCTGCTGCTGCTGTTGCTGCTGCTGCTGCTGCTGCTGCTGTTGCAGGAGAAGTAGAAATAGCAGCAGTAGAAGAAGCAGCAGCAGCAGCAGCAGCAGCAGCATCACCAGCACCAGCAGCAGCAGCACCAGCACCAGCAGCTGCAGCAGCAGCAGCAGCACCACCACCACCACCACCAGCACCAGCACCAGCACCAGCAGCACCACCACCACCACCATCACCACCACCACCACCACCGCCACCACCTGCAGCAGCAGCAGCAGCAGCAAGAGTAGAATATAGTTTATGTTTTTTTTTTATTGTGTAGGCGTTTGGGGTTGGATTTAGTTGACTTGCTGCACCCCAACAGCTTGCTGCTGTCTGCTGCTGCTGATTTTGCTGTTCATACACTCGATGCTGCAGCAGCAACAACAGCAACATTAAAAAAAAATATTATAGATGCAATAGAAAGGTATTTTACTTTTTTCTTCTTCTTCTTATTCCTCCTGCTGCTGCTGCTGTTGCTGCTGCTGCTGCTGCTGCTGCTGTTGTTGCTGCTGCTGCTGTTGTTGCTGCTGCTGCTGCTGTTGTTGCTGCTGCTGCTGCTGTTGTTGCTGCTGCTGCTCCTGTTGTTGCTGCTGCTGCTGATGGTCTTGTTTTCATGGTTTTGCTCCTGCTGCTGCTGCTGCCGCTGCTGCTGCTGCTGCTGCCGCTCCTGCTGCTGTTGCTGCTGCTGCTGCTTGTGCTGCTGCTGCTGCTGATGATGATGAGGATGATGGCGGTGTT